ACAAAGAAGAGGGAGTCAAACTATTCTCCAAAGCACCCGAAGGCAGGACAAGAAGCAATGGGTGGAAACTAATCAAGGAGAGAAGCAACTTAGAATTGAGGAGAAATTTCCTGAGAAATGAGAGAACAATTAATCAGTAGAACAACTTGCCTCCAGAAGTTGTAAGTGCTCCAACCCTGGAGGTTTTAAAGATGTTGGATAACCATTTGTCTGAGGTGGTGTAGGATATCCTGTTTAGGCAGGGGGTTGGACTAGAAGGCCTCCAAGGTCCCTTCCAACTCTGCTATTCTATATTCTAAAGGCGGGATATAAATAAAGAACCCATATGAAGTCAAAATCAAAACCCCAATTATGTATGCCAAGGATGTTCAACTTTGCCAAGGATGTTCCCAGATACTGTTGGTAAAGACTCGACTTACGACCACGATGGGAGCCCAAAATTTGTGTGGAGACACTTGAGTGAGCTTTGCCTCATTTTACGACTTTTCTTGCCACCGTTATTAAGTGAATCACTGCAGTTGATAAGTTAGCAACAGGGTTGTTCAGTAAATCTGGCTTCCCCATTGACGTGGCTTGCCAGAAGGTCACAAAAGAGGATCATGTGACCCCGGGGGACGCTGCGACCGTCATAAATATGAGTCAGTTGCCCAGCGTCTCATCACGCGACCATGGGGGATGCTGCAAAAGTCATGTCTATGAAAAATGGTTGTAAGTCATGTTTTTCAGTGCCGTTGCAACTCGGAACGGTCACTAAATGAACCGTTGTAAGTCGAGGACTGCCTGTATATAAAGAAATTTTTGCAAGACAAGCTAATCTTGCCAGGTTTTGATTTTTCTGACTTCATTCTCAAAAAAAGAGAGCCACGAATGACTCTTGTGGGGGGAAACAACTAATTTAACAGCCGCCCTTACTAACTCCATCCAATATTTTCTCCTGTCCCCTCCACCCCCTGTGCCTTTATTTGGGATCTGTGGGTGCATTTCCAGAGCACGATTCCGCATTATTTTTTTCCCATCGTTGTCTTTTCTAAGAAAGCTTCTGGGACTGGAGGCATCCTTGGAAATAAAGATCACGCCAGGAATGGCTGTTATGTAGCAGCACACATTTTTTAAAATTAGAGCAGTATTTTAAATGTAAGATATCACGTGCCGAAAGCGGGGGGGGGGGAGTGCAACCCCCGCTTTTCGCCCGCAATGGATCCATTTTTCGCCCTCTCCAGGCTCCAGAGGCTTTCTAGGAGCCAGTGAAAGGCAAAAATCCCCCCCCCCCCGGAGGCTTCCTTCCATTCCCAAACTTCTGGGTTGCCCATAGGGCCATTTTGCTCCCTCCAGAGGCTTCAGGAGAGTTGCCTGAAGCCTCCGGAGGGAGAAAAACGGCCCAATGTGCAAACATTAAGTCCGTTCCCCAACTTCCGGTTTGCGTGTTGGGTTCAGGAAAGCCTCCGAAGGGTGAAAAATGGCCGAGGATGAAGGCCGAAGTCAGCTGGCTAGTGCGCGCATGCACGCTGGAGCTGACAGGGCAACGCCTCGTGTGCCCTAACCAATGGCTCTGCGTGCCCCGGGTTTGCCATCACAGAGATAGGGCAAGGAGCTATGCAGGTTTCAAGGGAAGTGCTTTGACGGCCTGCTTTTAGGAGGCAACTGTTGTTTTTTAAAAGGGCGTATCTTGGTAGAAGGACGTTTGGGAATGTGGGTTGTACGTTTTGGTTTTTATAAAAACCGCCATGCGAAGGGAATGCTTAACACGATTTTTGCCTCCTGGGCTTCCCATTCCCATTTGATCGAAAGGCCTCCCAAGTGGAAGGATTTGGAGAGAGCCTGGCGTTCGTTTTGTCCAACGCTAGAATTTCACATCTACTCTACACCTGGCATACATACGAATGATTCACCTTTTCATCCTAGGCTTCGAATTAGGTAGTCCTCAACGTACGGCCACCGCTGAGCCCCACGTTTCTGTTTGTGAAGTGTGACATTTGTTGAGTGAGCTCTGACCCACTTCATGACTTTTCTTGCCTCAGTTGTTGAGTGAATCACTGCAACAAGTTAGTTACAGTACCTGGTTGTTAAGTGAACCTGGCTTCCCCATTGACTTTGCTTGTCAGAAGGTCGCAAAAGGGGATGGCATAACCCGCGGACAATGCCACGGTCATAAATATGAGTCATTAGCCAAGCGCCTGAATTTTGATCATGTGACCATGAGGCGGCCGCACAGGTCGCAAGAGTGAAAAACGGTCATAAGTCACTTTTTCCCCCAGCGCTGTTGTAACTTTGAATGGTCCCTGAATGAACTGTGATAAGTCGAGGACTACCTGTACCAAAAAGGACCTATAGATTAGTCCTTGACTTACAACAGTTCCCGTGATCGTGTGACCGTGTGATCATGTGACCCTGCAAAGGTTGCAACTGTGAGAAATGGTCACGTCACTTTTTTCAGCGCTACTGTAGCTTTGAATGGTCACTAAATGAACAGTTGTAAACTGAGGACTACCTGTACTTTGAGTGAAGAATTATTCTCCCACTGAGCAACTCTTACTATCAAAACATTTTCCAACAGTCAGCAAAAATATGCTTTGTCTTTCATATTTGCCTACCGATTCTCGTCCTCTCCAAGGAGACTGAAGACACACCAATTGTTGTTTGAAAACTAATAAAGGAGAATATTTGTAGCTCAGGGTTGAAATAAGGGAGGAGTCCTTGGTGCTCTCCGAGCTTGGCTCCTTTCTTGCAGACGTCTCATTACCAAACTAGCTAACTTCATCAGTGCACGGAAAATGCCACCCAGTTTGGGTAATGAAAACGTCTGCAAGCAACCGAACTCAAAGAGCAGGAGGGACCTCTCATATCCGAACACTTGATATTTGAAGTTAAGCCATTTCTTTGCATGCACAACGCACGCACCCCACTCAACCCTGGATGGCCCCACGAGGAGCGTCAATTTACCCTGATCAAGAAACAGAGACTGGTTTTGATTTTAGATGCATTGGTTTCGCCCTGCATCCGCTCTATTTTGTAAAGATGACAAGCTGATTCCAGGAGTCATCATTGGAAAAAAAACAACAACAGAAAAACCGAGGAATAACATAGGACCTTTTGGCCTGACCTTCTGCTTTAATCGGTAACAGATAATTGTCAAGCTTTATTCACAAATCCTGTACAGACCGAAAGAAGAGAAGGAAGGACGAGGAGAGGTCCCGAGCTGAAGGAGGCCACTTTCTGAAGCAACAGTGGTGGAATTTTCTGTAACGGAGAAAGAGAAGGAAGATCAGGACATTTTACAGCCAGGATTTGTGTGGCTCGGGTGTTGCAAGTTCACCCCCTGCCTATTTGCTTTCTGGGTTTGGAACAGAAATTAGACAAAAAAAACCCAACAACTTTACTGCCGCTCAAGTCCTGCCCCCCCTCCCCCAATGACAGGCTGAAGCTGTATAATTCCACTTCCCCATAGTGACAGGCCCAGTGGTAAAACACCTGTTCTACGCACAGAAGGTCCCGTGCTTAATCTCCATTAGGACTGACTGGGGGAAAAAACCTGTCTAAAACTTTGCAGATCTTCTGCCAATGAAAACAAGTCAGGCCCAGGCAAGATTTGCAACTCAGCACTGTTTTTGTTCGGGCAGCCAGAGTGAATTAATTCCTACCCCAAGATGACAAGGCAGTTCTTTTAGAAATACTACTAGAAGTAATGCCATTCGGTGGTGGCGGCTCTGCAAAAAAAATCACCCCCTTCCACATTCGCAGTTCTCATAGCTGCAACCTTTCCGAGGATTAAAGAGGAGCAGACGGAAAGATCGTTATCCAATATAAGGAAATATTTGTAGCTAGGGGTCCTTGGTGCTCTCCGAACTTGGTGGTTTTCTTGGAGAAATTTCACTATCCAACTAGGTAACATCCGCAATTAACTAGTGAATTTCGTTGTATGCGTATACTGTGTATATACGTACAATGACAATAAAATAAAGTAACTAGCAACCAATTTCGTTGTATTTAAGTACGACGACAATAAAGATTATACTTATAAACATATCTGAACCGTGATGGTAATGGCAAGAAATGCAACATTGCAGGCTAATTCTACCTACTGCCAGGGGTTCAATTCTGGTGGGCTCAAGGTTGACTCAGCCTTCCAAGGTCAGTAAATGAGGACTCAAGACTGTTGTGGACAAGATGCTGACACTGTAAAGCGCTTAGAGAGGGCTGTAAAGCACTGTGAAGCAGTATACATGTCTTGGGTGCTATGAGAAGGAAGGACTCCCTGGAGAAGAGCCTCATGCTGGGAACAATGGAGAGCAAAAGGGGACGACAGAGAGTGAGGTGGCTGGATGGAGTCACTGAAACAGTCGGCCTGAGCTTGAATGGATTCCAGAGGATGGTAGAGGACAGGAAGGCCTGGAGGAACGTTGCCCATGGGGTCGCGATGGGTCAGACACGACTTCGCAACTAACAACAATGACAACAACTGCAGGCTACTT